GGCCGGCGCCGGCCGCAGCGCCGAGTACCTGGTCGTCTACACAGGCGCGGGGATCAGCACGGTAGGGAGGGGCTTGCCGGCACCGAGTTCCAGGGAGGCCGGCCGGGCGGCGGCGTGGGGTCCTTCTGGGCTTTGACAGCGTGACTGGCATGTGGAAGCCCAGCTGAGGCTGGCGCCAAGCCATTTCTCTCCCCGAGAAGCCCTTAGGTGACAGCCAGGAGTGAGTCACAGTTACCGCTGCGTGTGCTGGGTCGCTGTGACAGAAGCCAGCCTCCATCTGTGGTCTCAGCGCTGGGCTTTTTGCAGGAGATGGCATTGAGCAGGCCTTAAAGGGTGGGCGCCGTTTCCAGGTGGAGGCGGAGCCAGGCTGGCCTCCCAGCAGGGGACAGCAGGGTGCCGGCCCCCAGGCTGGGCAGGCTGGGCAGGCGCTTGCCCTCTGCTGCCCTGGAGTCTGAGCACGCTGCGGCCAGGCCTGTGAACAGCCACACACTTACCTAGCGGGCACCGGCCTGAGCGTTGCCATTTGGGGATCCCCTCTTGGCCCTGTAGTCAGAACTGCGGGTCAGCATGGCCTGTCCTGAGCTCTGGCAGCCACGAGGAGACGGGCCTTCCCGAGGGGCCCGTGACCCCTTGAGGAGGGCAGCCCTTCTGTCTGGTCCCCACTAGGTCTGCGTGCTCTGCCAGGCTGGGAACTCGGGGTCAGGGAGCGCTGCTCTGGGGAGGCTGTCTCGTCTCTGGGGAGGTTGTTCAGTGGTGACCCGAGCGTCCACGGGGTGTGGACAGTGTGCTCCCGCCGGGGCTCACTGTCCACTGAGCATTTCTGAGCTCCGGCTGGGCCTGGGCATGGCCCTGACCAGAGCCTGGGTAGGGTGGGCAGACGTGGCTGCAGAGCCTGGTTTGAACTCCATGTTCGAGAAGCTCCCCAGAGCAGGGCTCAGGATGAGCTGGGCCAGGCAGGAAGGGGAAGACTAGGTGGAGGGAAGGAGCCAGAGTGGGGTGCGCTCGGGCAGGGGTCAGGCCGGCCAGCCGGGAAGCACACACGGCCGGTCCGTGGGCCTGCCTGCCGGGCGGGGACACGCACTCCTGGGTTGGGGGTTCCGCTGGCGCCTACAGATGCCTTCCCCCGGCTTATCTGTCCCCAACACGCAGGCAGCCTCTATTCCTGACTACCGGGGCCCTAACGGAGTGTGGACGCTGCTCCAGAAGGGGAGAAGCGTGAGGTGAGTGGGCCGCGCAGTCTCCCCGCTGGGTCCAGCAGGCGGCCTGCCTGAGCTCGCAGCTCCCCACCCCTTCACGTTCCCCCGCAGCACTGCTGACCTGAGTGAGGCGGAGCCGACCCTCACCCACATGAGCATCGCCCGCCTGCACGAGCAGAAGCTGGTAAGCCCCGGCACGGCCTATGTAGGTGCTCAGGGCGGCCGTGTGCTCCTCGAGTGCATGGCCAGGGCTGACGTCTCACCTCTGCCCGGCAACCTGTGAGCGCCCGCAAGTGTGTCAGACTCTCGGCTCCACCTCCCACGGTTCCTCCCCAAGAGAGGGGCTGCCCCAGGCCCTCTTCCTCCCTCTTCCTTGCACCTCTCCTGCATTGGCCCGTGGACCACAGAAGCCACCCTAATCACAGGGAGGCCTGTGGGAACCCCCAGAAGCCCCCTGCTAGGCCCTACCACCAACTGGGGATGCCCGTCTCCCCAGGCCCCCAGGTACTAGAAACGTGACCCTCGAGCATCCTGGCTGGGCAGAGTGGCCGTCCGTGTCTGCCCTCACACCGGCCCTGGCCCTGCCTGCCTTCTGGCTTGTGCAGACACGGCCCTCCTGCTGCTCCAGGTGCCCCACAGCTGGTGGGGAGGACCGTGGGCCATGCCCTGGGGCTCAGCAGCACCGCAGCTGCCCTACACCTGTGCTCTGCTGTCCAGGTGCAGCACGTGGTGTCACAGAACTGCGACGGGCTGCACGTGAGGAGCGGGCTGCCGCGCTCGGCCATCTCGGAGCTCCACGGGAACATGTACATCGAAGTGAGCACCCGTGGGGGCTGGGACCTGGTGGGCTGGCAGGCGCCCTCACGGTGCCCTCTCCTCCTCAGGTCTGCACTGCCTGCGTCCCCAACAGGGAGTACGTGCGGGTGTTTGATGTGACGGAGCGCACCGCCCTGCACCGACACCAGACGGGCAGGACCTGCCACCGGTGCGGGAGCCAGCTCCGAGACACCATCGTGCACTTCGGGGAGAGGGGGACACTGGCGCAGCCCCTGAACTGGGAGGCAGCGACCGAGGCGGCCAGCAGGGCAGACACGATCCTGTGCCTAGGCTCCAGCTTGAAGGTGCGCGCCGGTGCCGCTGTGGGCACGTGCGGGCCACGGCCGCCTCTGCTGCTGCTGGTCAGCTCAGCGTCCAACACCCTCCATGCCTCACTTCCTGCGCGTGCCAGTGTCTGTCTATCCTCTCGTGTCTCCAGGTTCTGAAGAAGTACCCGCGCCTCTGGTGCATGACCAAGCCCCCCAGTCGGCGGCCCAAGCTCTACATCGTGAACCTGCAGGTAACATGGGCATGCAGGGCCACGTGCTGAGGCCCAGGGTGGGCCCACGTCCCTGCAGGCCTGCAGCTGGCCCTGGTGGGCACTCGCGGCCCATGGAGCCTGTGGGGCAATGCCCACAGGCTGCTGGCAAGGAGTGAGCTGTGTCTTCACTGGCTGTCCCCTGTCCTCAGTGGACCCCGAAGGATGACTGGGCCACCCTGAAGCTCCATGGGAGGTGTGACGACGTCATGCGACTGCTCATGGCAGAGCTGGGCCTGGAGGTCCCCCTGTACGACAGGTGAGGGCCCCACCCCTCGCCTTCCGCCCTCAGAGGGCGTGTCTGTCCGCTTCTGCCCCAGCTGGTGCGGAGGGCGCCCGGTTCCCAGTGATTGCTGACGGTGTGGAGGCAGGGTCATGGCGTGGGCCTCGGCATCTGGCCTGGGGGTCAACTGAGGCTGCTCTGTGCCCCTGCCCTGTGTGGTGGTCCCCATCAGCCTCAGCTGAGCCTACATGGGAAGGTGTCCAGGGGACGTGGACGCGGCGCTGGTCAGTCTTGCACTTGGTCTGGGGAGTTGGCATAGAGGGGGACGTTCGAGCAGCTGTGCCTTAATACAGATGTGATGTGTAGACTGGTGTGTGTCGAGTAAAAAGTTTACACTTTCTTTCTCTGTGAATTTTCAGGGTCTTATAGGGGAAATCAATAACTTCTTTTAATCAAAGGGTTCGAGAATTAAGGATCCCTTCACCTTCTGGGCCTGGCAATCCTTGTATGTGATGTTCGTGTGTTCTGTCCCGTGGGCCTATCGTGTGCTGTACTTTCTCACGTGAATGAGCTCATCTCGGTGCTTATCTGTGCCCTGAGTTCACGCCCTGTGGTCCTACATCTCAGACACATGACTCCTCACGGCTGCCCGCGGGCCACGCCTCCCTCTCATCGGCCTTCCCCCCTGTCAGTCCTGTGGCGCGGTCTGGGAAGGGGGAGAGGGTTCGCCCGCCTGCCCCTGGCCGCTCAAGTGAGAGGTGGGGCCCAGGGTGGCTAGAGACTCGTCCCGGACCCGGAGGCTGCACCCTGAGCGCCTGCTCACTCGTGGGTGAGGACACCGTTCTGAGGCGGCCGGGCCACTGGGCGCTGACCTGAGTTATGCTCAGGGCTATGCCCTGCAGCTCTGCTACTCGCTGTGGCCCTGCCACCACTGGCCAGACACTGGGCGGGCGGGCGGTTGGCCACCTCCTCAGACAGCGTCCCCGCGCGGGGCGGCCGTGCTGCCCCCCGTGTGCCTGACATGGCTTTCCCTTTGGTAGGTGGCAGGACCCCATCTTCACCCTGGCCACCCCCCTGCGAGCAGGTGAGGAAGGCAGCCACAGTCGGAAGCCACTGTGCAGAAGCCGAGAAGAGGCCCCTCCTGGGGACCAGGGTGCCCCACCCAGCTCGGCCCCCACTCTTGGGGGCTGGTTCGGGCGGGGCTGTGCGAAACGCCGGAGGAGGAGGAGAGTGACGTAGCCTGGGCTCTGAGAGGAGCAGCTGGCACTCTGCAGGTGGTGGGACTCGTTCAGGGGCTGGGCTGACGGCGACCTACCTGGGGCTGGAAGAACTTGCACTGCTGTGGCTGTCGCCAGGATGGGCTTGATGGACAAGGACACCTCCCACGTGTTGGCCTCAACCTGAAGAGGTGGCAGTGTGGCCTCTCTGTGAGAGCAGAACTCAGGTCGTTTCAGGCCTGGCCGGCGGAGAGGACGACTGCTGCTGCCTTACCTCCTCCTCCAGGCTGGTCTCAGGGCCTCCTATTTCTCCCACTTCTTATTAAACCCTAACTTTATAGAAACCTTTTCTTTCTTGGGTGTGGACGCCAGGGTGACTCTGAGCAGACCTTTTTACTCTTATTAAACGTCTCGCACTGGCCACCGTCTCCACCAGCGCCGCCCAGGGTCTGTGGGAGTGGGTCGCTTGGGGAGCAGGCTTCCTGGGCGCGGGTCCCAGGCCTGGCGGTGCGGTTAGTTGCTGTTTCAAACGCTCTTGGTCAGGACCCTCCCAGTAAGGCCCACCAGGCGGGGTGAGGTGCACCCCTCGTGGTGCCGCCCCGCCCTGTGCTTCGCCAGGGGCTTGGCAAGGCAGAAGTTCCGGTGGGAGCCCCGGGGCCTGGCTGTGCACGCCAGCGGCCGCGCACAGAACGGAGGGCGCGGGTCCTCCTGGGGCCGGGCG